ATGACCCTACTAATCTTCAAAAAGCACTGCAGCAGTCGGTAGTCAGTATGTACAAACTGGATAATTTCGTAATTAAGAAGATTTGTAACCAGGTGAGAAGGTTGGGTCAGCTTACCCTCTGACCTGACTACCGACTGCTGCAGTGCTTTTTGAAGATTAGTAGGGTCATTACCTAATACCCGACCATTGTGGACTTGATCTCACCCTCCTCTGTATATATATATACCTTGTTTTGTACTTCTACTTAGTCTGTACTTACCCCTGAAGATGTGAATTACACGAAAGCGCTTGGGAACTTCGTGTTTTCTTCTTTCCTTGTGGTTATCAGCATATACCTGGATCACGCGCACCGACAGTGATTTACTTGCATAACACATGGATGTATTTTATGAAGGCTGACCCCTATCATGAGTTGAATGATGCTTGCTGGTGTATGGGTACAAGAAAACAAGGAAAAATTTGATAATGGATTGGTGGGATGAGAGACTGGCAGTGTTCATTTAAAAATGAAAGAGAGGATACATGCCAAACAAAAATAAAATTGAGGTGGGGAGGATGTTCGAATAACTGCTAAATATAACAGATGTGGGAGAGGTAGAATTATCCTGTTGAAGACATAAATAATTTAATATATTCAGAGTAAAAGAGGTAAAAACACTGAGGAAAGAGGTGGTGAGACTGGCTGTCAGTAAGGTCATGAATGGTAAAAGACCAGGAGTGGATAGAATCACTATTAAAATGTACAGGATAGGAAATAGAATAGTAAGATAATGAATGCACAAGTTATAGATGACAGGGAGGGATACCAAAGGATTGGCAGAAAATTGTATAGTTCTTTATATAAAGGGGATGTGATTGGAGTGTACTGTGAAATTTATACGATAATGTCCATTAACTATACCAAGGAAAAAATCATCAACCTCAACATTTCAATGGCTATTTTCCACACTTTCATGTTTGGTAGAGTTATTACTGAGAAAATTGTAGCAAAGACAAGAGTGTACTAGGAGGAAAAGCCATGTGGTTTCAGAAACGGAAAATGTGTGGATCAAAATTGATTATGAATGTGAATAAAAGCAGTGTAATGGAAGTAAGTAGAGAAGAACAACAAGGAGAAATAAATGTTAGCTTGAATGGAGATTGAAAGGTGGAAGTGGAGCATTTCATGTTTCTGGGGGTTAGTATGTTAACAGTTGGCACGAGAGATGAGCCACATTTTACTGGAAGGTAAGGCAATATTAGGTGGATTGAGAAATGTACACGAGGCATGCAAAAGAAATACTGTACTGCGTTTAATAGTGTGATGAAAAAAACTACAGAAATAAGATGTGAAACCAAAGAAATGTTGGACAGAGAGCAGGTCATTAAATGTTAAGTTGGTACGTGCATATTAAGAGATGGTTAGGGAAGGAATGGTAAAAAGAGTTTATAATTCAGAGTTGTGTGGTAGAAGGGACAGAGGAGGACAAAGGTGGTGATGGGAGATTGTATGAAGGAATCACTAAGTCAAGGGGATGGAGATTGAGGAAGCAGCAGTATGCGAAAAGGAGTGGAGACCATGGCATGTGAGTATTTTTGGGGAGAACACATGCTGTTTGTGGGTGATGCTGTCTTATATGAATCAATGGGGATAAACCAGATTTAAGAATTTGTTGTGGAAAGAAAGTATCATGCCATAACAAAACACCATATTTGTGGTAGTAAAAATAGATGAATGACATTGAATTAAGGGAAAATGTGTGTCTGAGGAAAAAGTCACCACTCAAAGTTGAGAGCTGAATAAGTTTGTTGCTATAGCAGCTTTTGCATCATAGCTCTCCCTTGTCAGCCGTCTTAGCTTTAACAGTAATTAACCCTTAGTTCAGTAGTCTCTCTAATTGAAGCAGATCATGATAGCTCTGCTTCATAAAGAGTCCACATATAAAAAAATATATATAGTTCGTAGGAAGTTTTATAACTGCAATTCTCAACTCTTGCATATTTAACAGTAAGTTCATTTTCAGTCTTAATCTGATTCAGGATGTTAGAGTTGTTTCGTTTGTATTAACAATGGGGAGCTTTTACCTTTATTGAAGGCAAGAGGACCTCTCTGCTTGAAATGAAAGATGTGTTGTTGTTTGACAGTGAAACATGGCCAGTTAAAGAGGATGATATACTGTACAGTATATAGGCTTCTACAGGCTAAAATGTAAATGGTGAGATGTATGTGTAAAATGATGTTGAGAGATAGGAAGTCCTGTTTGAAGCTAAGAGGACAGGTGGGTATCAAAAGTTTTGGTGAGGTTTTGTGCAGAAGTAGACCGAAATGTTCAGGCATATGGAGAAAATGTCGTGAGTTTGATTGTGGAGGGGAGGAGAACTAGGGATAGGCCAAAAATGACATGGTAAGAGGTGAGAAATGACCTCAGAGAGACTATTGCTTGCAGAGCTGCCATCAGGTAATCGTGGCTAACCCATGCAAGTTTGGAAAAAGACCATAAAATGTTGATGTTGCTGATGCCCTGTTTAATTGGTGGTCATTAGTGGTTCCATCCTTGCACACAAGTGTGCATCTTTAGTTTATGGAAAGAGATCTCTGTTCTTGCCAAGTATTGATGAATTGAGAAAATACATTTAGATGGGCTTGATGTCTGGACCCTAATGTGTCTAGTCTCTCTTTCATGTTGTCTATTTGACATAGAGGCATGGAAGAAGTTTTTACGTGGTAAGGTTAAGACGAATCTTTTTTTCTAGAATTTCTCCTCTTCCATAAATGTGGGCATTGTTGTATAATATACCTGTACAGCTTCTGCTAAATTGTACTCTTTTGGCAAGCAGTGGAATGTTTCAAGGTTCCAACTTTTGTGGATGAAATTTCAGCTTTGAAATTGCTAACAGGTTCCATTTCTTAAGTACAAGTCTACTTTGGAGGTGTCAGCAAAGAAAGCTGTGCTCTCGACCATTTTCTTTTAAGTGTTGATGGCAACTTCTTGACTGTTTAGCTACTTTGCTTGATGTGTTTTCATCTAGGATTGATCTTATAATGTTATTAGCGGGTCTTATGGGAGATAGATTGGTATTTTTGGTAATCTACTCAAACTTATTTTCACTATATCTGAACAAGATAGGTTTTTACAAAGAGAAAGCATAAGGGGAGATTATGCTGTAAATCTATTCAAGATAATCCTTGCCAGTTGTAATGTTGACCCTCGACTTATATCTTACTGTAAAGAAGTTTTGTGAGCGCTTCACGATGTTATAAGGGAATAATAGCTTGATGAGTGTTAATTATCATTGTTGTTGGTTAGCATGGGCTGCAACCCATGGACTTGATTGGTAAATACACAAAGTCTCTTTGTCCAAACTTGGCAATGAATTAGAGTTTCTAAGATCATTCCCTGATTTCTTCTTTAGCTACTGTATTGTTGTTGACAATTGAAGATGAAAATTAAATACAATATAGCATGCACGTGTCCTCTACCTTATTACAGTACACATTAATGGTAGAGTGGGTAGTGGGTCAGTTTTGCAGACTTTGCTATCAATTTGGAGATTTCTCTATATTTATGAAGTTATACTATATATATATATATATATATATATATATATATATATATATATATATATATATATATATATATATATATATATATATATATATATATATATATATATATATATATATATATATGCAAATAAATCGCTTTGGGGAACTTCGTGGTTTTTTTTTTTTCCTTGTGGTTATATATATATATATATATATATATATATATATATATATATATATATATATATATATATATATATAGGTATGATATGAAAAGCTTGCTTGATAGGTCTGTGGTGAGTACAGACTGTACTCACCCCTGAAGATGTGAATTACACGAAAGCGCTGAAACTTCGTTTTCTTTCCTTGTGGTTATATATATATATATATATATATATATATATATATATATATATATATATATATATATATATATATATATATATATATATATATATATATATATATATATATATATATATATATATATATATATATGACTGCTTAAATCTAACTGTTAACGTAAATTTCAAGTTAACTAACTGCTTCCATAAGGATCTTCAATTCGGTTAACGAACAAAAATTCGGTTAACGAATTTCTTACGAACCGACCTCAACATGTTTTCGCTTGCACTGGCCGGGCAACCAGCTTTAGTATCAGTCCGCCAATACATTAATCGGTTCTAGGGCTTAAATTCCTAACTATTTTAGTAAATATCAAGAAGTTTATACTATTCAATAATTTTAAAAGTTTAATATTCAATTTTTTAGTCATTTTAACAATTATTGAACATAATTGAAGGTAAAGTGACTAGTTTAAAGCGCAGCATCCAGCCTCTTAACACAGCAAACAGGCGTTAGTCTCTCTGTTTTCACTGGAGGTAACATCTTGCTTGAGACTCTCTTCAACTAAACGCTTTTTTCTGTGTTTCCAAGCAAATTATTGGTCATTTTGAAATATATTTTACATATTGACAATATATAATGCAGTACAGTGTTGATTTAAAGAAAATAATCTTGAAATACACCAAGAGAACTAAAATTTTATGGGTGAAATGGTGCCATGGGGTGACTTCTCTTCCACCCCAATGCCTTCTCTTCTTCCTTCTCCTCCACCCCCATTGTAATTCCATCATCATCATCATCATCATCCAGGAGCCTTCTACATACACACCTCAAAGTAAGTGAACTTTTCTACCATTTTTGTTGAATTTAGGAAATTTTCGGTGAGCTGGAACCAATTACCCAAAAACCCATTGAAACAATGGTTTCGTTAACGAACTTTTCGGTTAACGAATCCACCTTCTGGAACGGATTGAGTTCGTTAACCGAGGGGTCACTGTATATATATATATATATATATATTATTTTGTACAGTACTTTAGATGTTATATATAGAATGAAATTGGTACGGTAGTTGTCTTTGTAGGTATTAATGATAAGTAAATTAAATTTTTCTCTTCTTTTTTTCCAGAGGAAAATAAGAGTGTTGATGTGGTTGGAGGAGGCACATCACGCTTAACAGAATCCAGCTCCTCCTCTTCAGACAGTGATTCATCCTCATCTTCATCATCATCATCATCCTCAGATTCCTCAGACTCAGAAGCAGGTTAGATGTGCATTTCTCTCCCTACGAGATAAAAAACATTTTTGTATCATCGTGACCAATATTGTTATGTCATTCGACTGATATATTTTTTCCCATTTTTTATTCATTTGTACATAGTCAGTTCATTCCTAATGTGCCAGATAAAAGTGGCACATGAACCTATTTATATTATAAGTTAAGCTTGGGGCTGTCTGGTTCCTATCAGGCCCTGAACATGACAGTGCTGCCTTTCACGTTTTCTTTTATACAACTGCTCTTAAGCTATTATTTTCCTCTTCCTGAACCTCTGTTCCTCTTATTCCTGTGTCCATTTCTTATCTCTCTCGTCTCTTCTCTCTTTCTCTCTTTTTTTTTTTTTTCCTCTCTAGAAAGTTTAATATTATTATTATGTTAATGACTTGTCTCTCCCCACCACTGTGGACACAAGAACAAGGCACAAAGATTGTACTGTAAGGATCAGGCCAGAGTGCAGGGATGTGTTCAGGGGTCAGCGAGTTTGTGCACTGGGATGCGTTGTGGAGCTGTTGGTTGGCATGAGCGTGGTCAGGCTGGGTCACACCTACACGTGGCAGACAATGTGAATGGTGGCTTATTGCTCACTGTTTCACTTGCACCTGAGTGCCAGAGAAGGGAAAAAGGGTTGGATTGGTTGAAGGGGAAATTAAGGGGTTGAGGTTGGTTGCGTTACCTCTTTCTTCATCAGTTCAGTATGTTGTTATTCATGAGTTCTATGGGGGCCAAAAAAGTTTTTATTGTTCTGCTGTCACTGCCTTGGACCAAGTGAGCACATGATGCTGCCGGCTTGCTGGCCTCCAACACATTGTTTGCACTCACTGGCTTCATGTGGTCTGGATCCATAGGCCACAAGGTATCATCACAAACCCACTGCAGAGGACACTCAGCCCTTCCACTGAATATGTCAGTCCTCAGTGTAAAACTCTTGTGTCGCAGTGGCAAACATGCTGATACCTTGTTCTGCGGTGGAAGGGGTATAGCTTACCAGTACCTGAGAGCGGGAGGATCTGATAAAAGACTTGTAACAACAGCTAAACCATCCTTCCACCTTAGTGCAGTAACCTCTCAAAGAGTGAGTGTTTGTATGAGTGCAAAACTAAGAGTGAGGATGTTAGCAGAGTGCTGTACCTGCTTCAACACCAGTATTGAAAAACATGGTGCATCATAATTCCAGTACTGTATAACTGTAAAGCTCCATCTAAAAATAGGCTTAAGTTCTTTATTTAAAGAATTTGTACTTTCACAATATTTTTTATCCCACAAAAAATAAATTTAAATTTTGTAACCTTAGGTGATGCTGTGAGATAATATAAGGATTGTAATGATGATTCTCCATAGATGTAAGAGCGGATTTATTCTGCTATCACATCTATTAGGTCTAGTATATCTTCTGTATTTAGGTGCGTTTGCTTCATTTCAAGTGAGCAATAAGCTATCAGTTGAACATTGCCAAGCGTTATTGTGAGCCCGTGGCCAGACCACCGCTGTACATATGAACTAAGAAAGTGGTATGTACTCCTCCTGGTGCATCACTGTCACTTAACATGTGTTTGTGTCTTTATTAGCAGATACAAATGTTGTATTATAAAAAATAAACAAGTCATCCTTCTAATTCATTATTTCCTTGTCCCATGTTGTCCCCTGGACACAGATTGCACTCTGGTGATCCTCGTAGAACACATACAGACATGAGGTGGTGCTTGTGGATATCCCTACTTTATTTCTTATTTTTCCCTTGTTGCTACATACATTGAATGTGGTTTTACCTGTGCTTTCACATCAAGCATACATCACCAAATGGTAAGTACAAAAATACCACATGCCCTCCTAACTCTCCATAGAACTTAGTATGGAACATGTTCGTGCTAAAATTATTAGAAAGTTTTATTACCGAGTGCTGTGGCATTATTTTCTTGTGTGTATATGTCATTAGTATCCATTGTGGAGAAATTTTGGTACTGCAGTACTTAAAAACTCAAGAGGAGCTGAACAAGTACACTGGCATGTCATTGATTACTGCTTTACAAGACTTGAAATGACTGAAAGACAGTAACATGTTGGAAATGTGAAGTATCTGTTCCTGTACTACTTAATTCTACTGTTTGGAATTCAAGATATGAGAGTTGAAGATTTGCTCAACCCACTTGTATTGTTTGCTTTTAAGAAAAAAGTATGAGTTGGTAAAAAAAATGAATTATGTGTATATTTTGTAATTTAAGAGTATTTGGTGTAAAGGAAACCCTTATGAATGTTGAAGGTATATGGTAAGTAAATGAGGTGATTCGTTTGACGGCGGCCGAGATGACGGTCAAAATACACACAGAGTTGAAGAAACCTGGGATGAATGTCATATTGTTAAAGGAATACATGGGAATGTGTTTATTTAATTTTTTTATTATATATTTTTATTTATTTATTTTTTCCTTTTACAGGAATAATCTTACCTCAGCAGTAGTATGGTAGTGATGTAGGTTTGTAGGAAGGT